TCCTGCTGACAACAGCAGTTACTGAGGTGTATTGGTGTGGTCCTGGGCACGGGTTGCAGGAACTCATTGCAGGGGTTTGTCTGGCATCTTTGACTCCCTCTGTTATCAGCAAGGCAACATAGGTGCCTCCAGGGATGTATAACATAATAATAGATGTATAACATGCTGAGTACTTGGAGCAACCACTGTTTTTGTAAGTGTGCAGAAAGAAAAGCTTTCCTCCAACCCTGTAAAATAACTTGAAAAAAAACCCCCAAAAACCCAAAACAAAACAAAAAACCCAACCAAACAAAAAAAAAAAAGGTTTTGTGGTAGATGCCAGCTCTTTTCCCATAAAAGATTGGCTTTATTTATTTCCTCAATATTCTCATTAGCTCTATAAATTTTTCAATGAACTTGACAGTTGAGGAATTATTTCATGTGTCACTAAAAGAACATGTCTTTTCAAAATGGTTATTTCAGGCCACACTTCCCTTAGCTTTGCTGGGAATAGCTACATTAAATACCGAGTTTCTGAAAACAGCAAGAAAGAGGAATTCAAGTTGGCTCTCCGTCTGCGAACACTGCAAAGCAATGGGATTATAATGTACACCAGAGCTAATCCCTGTATAATTCTGAAGGTAATTAAAATAACTTATCTTTTTCACAGTTGTTTTTCTTCATTCTGTGTTTTCTATTGGCTCTCGATTTGGGGAATGTTGTGCTCATTTCAGCTGTAGCTTAAGCAGATAAAGTCTGATCTGTTTCATACTAACAGGGAAAAACAGCAATTTCCACAATAGCAGCAATAACAATGATCAAAAAAAAGCAGCTTGTTAGTGGTACTTTACTTGAAAAGTGCTCCATTGGATGTTATGTGTGTCTCCATGAAGGAGCCAATCTGCACAAGATGTAAGATTTGGCCATATATGGCCAAATGGCTATTATATGACCATACAGTCAAAACCATGCTGAAGTAACTGTTCTTCCTCTGTGTCCGTGCCTGAGGTTAAAGGATATTTCCTCACTGCTGCTGAGTTAATTCCAGAAACCAACTGATTGGTGTCTCCTACTGGATGTGAAGATTTCTGCACTCTGTGAATTAAGATCATTTGTTGAGAGAGGCATGGGCTAGCAGGAGATTTATAACCAATCAATGTTTAATTGGTATGTTCTCCATGCATTTTTGTTTATTGTTGGGTTTCTGTGGAATGACAAATACCGGCAGGATGGGAAGAGTGCTACCCTCATCCAAGAGCCTGCATGTATAGTATTTCTTCTTAGAGCCTCTAAGGTACAAAATTAAGACATTGACTTCTGTAACTCAGCCATGTCCCATAATTCAGCAGTGGAAGAAATGGCACAGAGCCTTTTGTGTATGAATTTGCAAGCTTTAGAATTCTTTTGGCAAAACGCTTAGGTAGTGTTAAAATGGCTTGATGAGTTATTAATGGGCAGCAAATAATTTTAGAGCTGTTCGACTGAAATATTTCATGAGCAGCAATACTATCTGTCTTTCACTGGGGACTCTCAGAGTTACTCAGATTTGTACAAGACAATTAAGGTCTACTTTGAGATGTGTAGAAGTGCAGTTTGAACTTCTCAGTATAGTTTTTTGTTCAAAAAACCAAAAAAAACTATGGTCTTGAAGGCCTTGTTTGAAGTCTTCATCATGGTTGCTCTTAGCACATAACAAAGGGAACGTTTGCAATTTTGTAGTTTTGAAAAATGCCTGGAAAAAAACAAAGGGCCCTGGTGAAAGGTACCATTTGAAACCAATAGATGATACAGAGACAGACTAAAATGGAGTTGCAGTGATTGACAGGAGAATTTATTTTATTAGAGTTTAGTTTATAAAACTACTGTGCTTAAGAGTCCAGCAGGTCAGATCATAGTCAACTGAGTGCAAATCTCCAGTTGGCACTGGGAGATTTTTGCCACCAAAAGAAAAAAAATCACACTATACAAAAAAATAAATGAGATTCCCTCACTGCAGTCACCTGGACTGAGTTTTTAGTTGTGAGGTTAGAATTATGTTTTCAGTCACTGCTTCACAAAATCACCTGACCAGTTTGGTTTGAAGGATACTGGAAGGAAAAATAATACTTAAAGGACCAGTAACAAAAACTGCAGCTGCTCTGCTCCCATCTCAGAGGCCAACCTCCAGGTCACGTTCGGTTTTGCTTTCTAGCTTTAAGGAAGAATTTCCAGCTCTGAACCCATCTTGTGCAGTACTTAATAGAGAGCTTCAGACAGCTGCCACTTAACATGTTTGATGAGAGAGGTCCAGGGACTTGTATACAGTGTTACGAGTGCAAGGTTTCCAGTTTCTCCTGTGCATCATCCTGGGAAGGACACAAGGAGTTCCCTTCCCGGGACCTCATGCTTAGCTTTTAGGTAGGGCAGGATTTGCAGTTGCAGTGGATGCATCCTTTCCCCAGGTCTAGCCCTTGGCTTCTTTCTATAAGCATAGGGCTTAAAATAAGTAAAGCTTTACATTCAGCCTGTTTTTTGAGGGAAAAAAAGATCAGGAATTGCAAGAGTTTTGCTTATGAAGGTCATTTAGCAGAGGAGCATCAGACTGAAGACTCACAAAAGTGCTCTATGGCAGGCACATGTCATTATGCTCAAGGGATGTAGCCATTGCAGGTCTCTTCAGGGGTGACCGCTGACTCATAAACTGTACTTTGAGGATCCCTAACTGAGATGCTTTCAAGGAATTTGCCTTTAGACTTTCTAAGCATGTGTTTTTTCATTTGTAAACCAGAGGTAAGGCCTTTTTAGTTTGTTTTGTTGTTTTTTTAACCAGGTATGTATGTTGTGAGATAAGGAAGTGCTCAGAAATGAGGCCAGTAAGTAGATTAATTAGAGGTCTGTAAATGTGAAGTTGTTATCATTTGAGCATTGCTTTCAATTAAATTAAACATGAGGAGAAGCTTTCCAAATAGAGGATCAAGGATGGGATCCTGTGCTCTTTTGAGCACTCTGGCATCACTCCAGCAAAGCACTTAATCACTTTCTCAACTTCCTGTACTTGAAGGCAATTGGAACTCCTCACGTACCTTAATTTTAAGCTTGTACTTAAGCATCTGCCGGATTAACAGGAGGGGACCCAGCACCAACACTGAGCTCCAAACACAGGCAGAGCTGGAAGCCAAGTTTAGACCAACCACCTAGTACCACCTCACTGGAGAACAAGCAGGAAACAGCACCCCTGTTGGGGCATGTAGTGGTATTGATTTTTTTTAAACAAGTCTCCTTCATTGCAGTCTATTTAAAAATTAATGCTGCAATATGGTTTTCAGTGTTTAAATGACCAGCTTAATTTTGGTAGCTCATACATTTGTGATAACTCCAGGGATGGAAATATTTCATAATCATAACACAGTGTCCTTCTTGGATGAATAATCAATTCCATAGAGCAAACTGCTTGTCTACTACTTTGTTGAAAGCCTACCAGCTACACTCTGTTGATACAATATAATAAGGGTGTTATTTATTCAGCTGTTTCAGATAAAGCAACTCATCCATCGATTTTGAGAGGCTGACCATTTTTTTTTGTTATGTGCTCTTGCTTTTAAGACAATTGGAGCAAAATGAGATGCAGGTCAATGGCCTTCTTCTTCTAACAGAATTACATATGTCAAAATTTTATCACCATTTCCTTTTTCCTTTGTAACATCTATCTGGGAAAAGTAAGATTTAGCAATTTTAAGCATTACAAGGCCATTGCAAAAGAGAATTTCATTATTTATTTATGTATTTATTTATTTTTTTCAAGGACTGTAATAGAGATTTAACATGTTTTGTGAAATTTAAAGGATTAACAATAGGTAAAGAAAAACTTCCCTAACATGCCAGAAATATGGTAACAGGAGAGATGCCTGAGGACTGGAGGGTAGCAAATGTCACACCAGTCTACAAGAAGGGCAAGAAGGAGGACCCGGGTAACTATAGACCGGTCAGCCTCACCTCCATCCCTGGAAAGGTGATGGAACAACTTGTTCTTGTCACTATCTTCAGGCACGTCAAGGACATGGGGGTCATCAAGAGCAGTCAACATGGTTTTATCAAGGGTAAATCATGTTTGACTAACCTCATAGCCTTCTATGAGGAAATTACTAGGTGGATAGATGATGGTAGAGCGGTAGATGTGGTTTATCTTGATTTCAGTAAAGCATTTGACACCGTCTCCCACAGCATCCTTGTAGATAAGTTGATCAGGTATGGGTTTGGTGATCAGGTAGTGAGGTGGATTAGGAACTGGTTGAAAGGAAAGAGTCAGAGAGTTGTAGTCAATGGGGCAGAATCTGGTTGGAGGTGTGTGACTAGTGGAGTCCCTCAGGGGTCGGTACTGGGACCGGTGTTGTTCAACATCTTCATCAACGACCTGGATGAGGGTATAGAATGTACCCTCAGCAAGTTTGCTGATGACACTAAGCTGGGAGGAGTGGCTGACACACCAGAAGGCTGTGCTGCCATTCAGAGAGACTTAGATAGGTTGGAGAGTTGGGCGGGGAGAAACATGATGAAATTCAACAAGGGGAAGTGCAGAGTTTTACATTTGGGGAAGAACAACACCATGTCCCAGTACAGGTTGGGGGCTGAACTGCTGGAGAGTAGTGTAGGTGAAAGAGACCTGGGGGTCCTGGTAGACAGGAGGATGACCATGAGCCAGCAATGTGCCCTTGTGGCCAAGAAGGCCAATGGCATCCTGGGGTGCATTAGAAAGGGTGTGGTTAGTAGGTCAAGAGAGGTTCTCCTCCCCCTCTATTCTGCATTGGTGAGGCCACATCTGGAGTATTGTGTCCAGTTCTGGGCCCCTCAGTTCAAGAAGGACAGGGAACTGCTTGAAAGAGTCCAGCGCAGAGGTACGAAGATGATTAAGGGAGTGGAACATCTCCCTGATGAGGAAAGGCTGAGGGAGGTGGGTCTCTTTAGCTTGGAGAAAAGGAGACTGAGGGGTGACCTCATCAATGTTTACAAATATGTAAGGGGTGAGTGTCAGGGAGATGGAGTTAGGCTTTTCTCAGTGATGACCAGTGATAGGACAAGGGTGCATGGGTGCAAATTGGAGCATAGGAGGTTCAAGGTGAATATCCGAAAAAAATTTTTTACTGTAAGAGTGACAGAGCACTGGAACAGACTGCCCAGGGAGGTTGTGGAGTCTCCTTCAGTGGAGACATTCAAAACCCACCTGGATGCGTTTCTGTGTGATGTACTCTAGGTGACCCTGCTCTGGCAGGGGGGTTGGACTAGATGATCTTTTGAGGTCCCTTCCAGCCCCTAAGATTCTATGATGATTCTATGATGATTCTATGATGAAATATAGCTGTTAAATGGTAAAAGGCAAGCATATGTTTGCCCAGGCAGTTAGCATAAAACTTTGTGTGGTTAAGTGTGTATTATACATTTTAATGCATTACTGCTGCATGGCTTGTGCTGGATAAGGCTGAAGCTTGGATATGGTCCCAGTTACGGCTGGAGTTGAAACAAGTAATATTTTAATTAAATATACTGTTTTACACAAACAAACCTGAAATGGGATTCAGCTAACGAAATATTTCCCCAGATAGATTAGTAGTCAGCATGCTGTATCCATAGTGTGTGACTGCAGATGGACTGTGTGAGCCTAAGTTGGTCTCAGAAGAACCATTTGATCATTTTATTACCTATGTTGATACACAAATATGAATGTTAGCCAAACATCTTAGCCAGGCTAATATTCTAATATAATTCACAATATGTGTTTGGCTCAATTTTGCTCATTGAATGAAACTGTTGAAATGTAACAGATTGCATCAGCTTTTGGAGCCTTCTCCATTCTTTGTGCTTCTGTACAGGTGAGGAATTTTGTGTCTGCCAGAGCATACATGCCTAAGTATGCATTAACCTCTCTGTCCTAGTAGCTGTAACAATAGATGCTGTAACTGAGCCCATCAAGCTCTGAGAGGTGAAAGCTTGATGGGAATTGTCTGTCCAGCAGCAGCTCTGTGTTCGTCTTTGTGCAGAGGGTCTCTGCTGGTGTTGTGGGCTGCTCTAGTGAGAGCTTGCAGAGTTTACATCTCTGCTGTGAGATGAAGTAACTCAAGCTCTCTGCTGTGTTACATCTCACAGATGGAGAAAAAAGCAGTGCCACACATGCAGTCCTGAACTGAGAGTATGATGCTGCCAACCCTCAACCAGACCAGTCACCCCACAAGGTTATGTCTGAATAACCACTGAGCCTGGGCAACAGCATTGGCCATTTTTAGGATTTACATACCATTCACTTGAATGTACTTCATCTAGTAAGAGGTTAGCTTGAAGTTCATCTTTTCTTGGTACCAGGGTCCAGGCTATAATCAAATAATGTCTCTAGGGATTGAACAATGTCAGTGATATCACAGATGGTTACAGAAAATCATGGGAACACCAGGGATTGATTGCTGAATCAAAGATCTATGGTTGAATTCTCCATGCTTAGGAGTGAAGTCATCATTTTGTCCTGCCATATGGAGGACCCTTCTCCTTCTTGCCCTACCAGCCGAGCTGCTAAGTAGGCAGGACAGAAGCTCTTTGCAGCTCCCACTCCTTGCCTGCTGTTCCTGCTCATCCTCCTCCTTCTAGAGGCACAGGACCAGCAGAGGACAAATACTTCCTCCATGCCCAGCTGCAGCAAGACCTGTGACCACCTGATTAATGAAAGTATTTTTATGGTCCCATATCTGGGCATGTCACAGTCTTCAGTGTTTGTATCCTTAAAGCACTGGTGTGAGGGAGGGAAATGACGTTATCCCTCTTTTACTGATGGAGATATGAAACTAATGACTTGCTTGAGATCCCAGAGGAAGAGTGTTACAGAGTGTGGGTTCCCAGGCATATCTATCATATCCTAGGCTAGTACTGTAAGTGTTGGACCATCCTTTCCATCTTTCATTTGGCCTGAGGTGGAGGTTACTAGTGCTTTTTTAATAAAAGGAAGGGAACATAGCGTTTCAGACAATATATATTTACTCTGTGTGTCAGATGATCTCTTGGTAAAAGGAAATAAAAGTGGATGAGAAAGATGTATAAAACATATTCTAATGGCAAATCTTTTAGATTATAGTTTCCCATATACAAATGGTGTAATACTTATCCCAGGTGCTCATATGTGGTGTTGTATTTATAAAGATAATTGGAAAAGCATGTTTGGTGAGTAAGGGTAATAGACATGCAGGCAGCAGGTCCTTCAGGGTATAAGTAGTCTTAGGGGAGGTATATGTGTATTATACACAATCAGTAGAACAGTTTCCTTAGGAAAAAGGCTTTGGAATAAGAAGCAAGGTAACTGCTTATCCGATTATGGCTGTTTTTCAAAGTGTAATATGTTGGCATTTATTTTTCTGTTTGATTTGTATTCGTGTTGAGCCAGACCGCATTTTCTGAGCAGCACTTTCAAGGTTTGTGAACTACTTTGTTGCACAGAGAGGAAAGAAACTATTGCTCTATCTCTGGAGAGAAACCAGCTCAGTTCATCAGGGCATCTTGTTTACTGAGATTCCTCCTGAGCAGATGCTTTAATAGGCCCAATTTCAATCTACAGAAATAGTTTACAGATGAGTTTTGAGTCATCTAAGAGAAGATTTTAAAATGAAAAATAATCCAGACATATTTTTCTATATATCCATTAGCCTTTTTTGATTGAGCTGTAGGAATACCATGCAACATCTATCCCGCCAGCATGTTGTATTACTATCATAGATCTCAGTTTTATTGCATCCTACAGCTCAAGGACTTCAAAATAGCCAGCTGCCCACAGCAGGGACTAATTCTTGCTCTTCTGGCTCCTTCTACATGTGTATCACACTACACTCATCATACCATGCAGGATAAGGAGGCAGGTGGCATTTATAGAATGCTTGTCATGTGCTTAGCACCTCCATGTCCACCTCATCCAAGCAACAGCAGACTGGTGGAGTTCACACACCAACTGCCCAATGTGGCTTGGCTTGAGGTTACACCCCAGCTCAAATTCAGCTGATCAAGAGCCTGAGGTCTGGAAAGGAAAAGGAACTGCAAAGATCATCAGAGCAAAAGATTTTACCCTGAGCTTTTCTCCAGGTAGTTTTGTCATTCTCCAAGGATTCTCCAGGGATTTTCCAGTAAAATACTGATAATGGTACAACAGCACAGTCTGCTCCTGTAGATTACTAGTATCCCATTTGCCTTCAAGCCAAATCAGTAAGCCTGGCAGAGAAGGGTTTCAACACCAGTTCCAACGCATGCCAAGGGATGTCTCTAGATAACACAGTTTTTAATAACTATTCATGTCAGAAACAGTCAAAAATGGCCAAAGTCAGATAGACACAATCCTCTCATCTGCATTAGTCATGCCAATTTAGCAGGTCACCAAAGTGCAGAGGGGTTCTTCCATTGACAGCTATGGCAACTCTGCTTGGCTAGAGGAGAGCAGTAGGTTTGTGTTATGGATAAACCAGTGAGAGTACAATGTGTGCTGCAGGGAAGGATTAAAAAGGACACTGCACTTGAACTTTTCAGGGGGATAAATAATGGGACAGAACTATCTTGAGATGGGCTTTACGGAGATAAATAATTCCTAGAGCATGGCATAAAGGTAAAATGATTGCAAGAGCTTTCAGAGAGTTTGAATCCAATTAATGTGTCATAAGAAATTATTTCCAGCCTTGTCAGCCATTTTAAACTTATCTGCCATCTGTTAAAGCAACCTAAATTCTTTGGGTAGACTGCTAATCAGGAAACCAGCGCTTCATACCTGTTTCTTCACTTTGCACTTTGCCTGCCCCAGCAGGCTGGCACAGATTTCCCCTTTATGAGGACTGCAGGTGGGCAAGAGGCAGGAGGGAGAGTGAGAAATCCTAAAAATCCCTCTAAAGCCATGAACCCAGCATAAATATCAGGAAAGGAAGAAAGGTATGAGCCATTCTGTGTCATCTATGAGACACAGGCAGAACAGGTAGTCCCAGGGAAACATCTCACTTTTTTAGTCAACCAAAATCTTACTGTTGTACTTGGAGAAACTGAACTTATGACACTTAGGGACAAATCCACACCTTGCTGAGATGCTCTGAAAGATTGCAGAGGCACAGGATCTGTGTGTGAGCAGAGCATCTAGCATGCCCAGCTGAGAACAGTGCCCATTGACTTTGCCATAAGCCTCACTCAAACACTCAGAGGTGGCCTACCCCCAGGAGTAGAATCACAGCACACAGGTGGATGGCAGGACATGCTCAGTGAAACATATCTTCATCCTACTCCTGTCCTGTGTTCTGCTTCTGTATTTCTGTATTCTTTTTCTGTATTTTCAGTTCGTCTGCAGTAACTGCCTTTGGGTAGATTCTAAGTAGGCTGGTATTTATCACCTTAGAAAGGCACAGGTTTTTTTCTGTTTTGGTGTCACATAGGAGAGCAGCTTTAAAACTGTATAGAGAATGTCTAGACGTCCTCTGTGTTTCCAGGTTTTCCATGAGAGTGTATTATGAGACAGCTGAGTGCCCAAAGCACTTTGATTTCTCTTTTCCTCCTGCAGATTGTCGACGGCAAACTGTGGTTCCAGTTGGACTGTGGAAGTGGCCCGGGAATCCTGGGAATTTCTGGCAGGGCCATTAATGATGGAAGCTGGCATTCTGTCTTTCTGGAGCTGAATCGCAATTTCACCAGCTTGTCCCTGGACGACAGCTACGTGGAGCGCCGCAAAGCCCCCCTCTATTTCCAGACCCTGGGCACGGACAGCTCGGTCTACTTCGGCGCCCAGGTGCAAGTGGATAACGTCCGCAGCCTGACGGACAAGAGGACAACGCAGGTCTTGAGCGGCTTTCAGGGCTGCCTGGATTCCGTTGTCCTCAATAACAACGAGCTGCCGCTCCAAAACAAGCGCAGCAGCTTTGCAGAAGTGGTTGGCCTGACGGAATTGAAGCTTGGCTGCGTCCTCTACCCCGATACTTCGGCGCCCAGGTGCAAGTGGATAACGTCCGCAGCCTGACGGACAAGAGGACAACGCAGGTCTTGAGCGGCTTTCAGGGCTGCCTGGATTCCGTTGTCCTCAATAACAACGAGCTGCCGCTCCAAAACAAGCGCAGCAGCTTTGCAGAAGTGGTTGGCCTGACGGAATTGAAGCTTGGCTGCGTCCTCTACCCCGATGCCTGCGAGAGGCATCCCTGCCAGAACGGCGGCACCTGTACCCGCCTGCCATCTGGTGGTAAATATTCTGCATTGCTTTGTGGCTTCGCTGCACAACTTGCTTTCTTCTCCCGTCCCCCCTCGCCCATTTTTCCTCTACAATTTATGGCCAGAGATGTTTTTATGCAGCAATGTGCTTGAAAAATCTGATGAAGTCTATAAAACTCTGATAGGTATTGCAAATTGTGTAAAAGCTGTTTGCTCTATAAATAATGGTGAAATGGTGCCCCTTCTCATTGCATTAGTGTTCCAGGAGGAAATTGATTTATTGGCTGTTAGGATAAAACTATTTCTATAGAAACCAATAGAATTACAATTACTATAATGCTCAGCTGGATTTTTCAGGATCCATTTACAACATCGAAGGCTGTACAGAAAGATGGTGATTTCCAACATCCCTCCCCAGATGCAGCAACACTGTTGTCATTCTCTGTTTCTGAAGCTGTCATGAGTAATTACTGAGCTGTCCACAAACACCTTGGTCCCTGTGTGAGGGAGTAGGCACCTGTACCAGCCTGCCATCTGGTGGTAAATATTCTGCATTGCTTTGTGGCTTCGCTGCACAACTTGCTTTCTTCTCCCGTCCCCCCTCGCCCATTTTTCCTCTACAATTTATGGCCAGAGATGTTTTTATGCAGCAATGTGCTTGAAAAATCTGATGAAGTCTATAAAACTCTGATAGGTATTGCAAATTGTGTAAAAGCTGTTTGCTCTATAAATAATGGTGAAATGGTGCCCCTTCTCATTGCATTAGTGTTCCAGGAGGAAATTGATTTATTGGCTGTTAGGATAAAACTATTTCTATAGAAACCAATAGAATTACAATTACTATAATGCTCAGCTGGATTTTTCAGGATCCATTTACAACATCGAAGGCTGTACAGAAAGATGGTGATTTCCAACATCCCTCCCCAGATGCAGCAACACTGTTGTCATTCTCTGTTTCTGAAGCTGTCATGAGTAATTACTGAGCTGTCCACAAACACCTTGGTCCCTGTGTGAGGGAGTAATTTGATTACGTGTCTGCATGGAAAATAACAAGTCCAACCCATTATAACCCCCCCAGAAGTGTATTTTACAGCTTCCTCAGAGGCCTGAGTGCTTCAAGGTCTAAGTAATATTATCCAAAGGTTAAAGGGCATTGATTTAAACTGTGCTTGTGTTGGAGTTTCCTATCCAGTGGTAACACGGTGGCTTGTGTGACTCGGTGCCAGTGACCTGCTACCCAGTAATGTAGTGCACAGACCATAAAAACAGTCAGCATCTTAGCAGGAAAAAAAAAAGCAAATGGCATGTGTAGGACCTTCAGGGCTATTCTGCCTCTGCAGTGTGCAGGTTTCCCCTCCAGTTCCCACATTGCATTAGCAGGAAGCATTCCTCATCTTTTCTGGCAGAATAAAACTTCTGCCAAAAAGGAGGAAGGTCAGCAGAAAGGTCTTCTGCAAATTCAAGAGCTTCCCATCCACCTATTTTCAATGGTTTTGGTCATGGTTTCCTTGGGAAGTTCCCACTAAATTCTTTTTTTTTTGGGGGCGGGCAGCATTCATTTAAGCACTGTCCAGGTTTTTCAGATTTACTGAGTCCATGTAGTTCCCTTGTATCTAATCTGATTCTATTTTTTATTGTTTCAAGCCTTATTCTCATATTTCCTTTCTTATCACCTTCTCCCCAGTAGATTTTTCAAAACTTTAGGAACTTCCTAAACTTTACAACAGTTTAGTTTTCAGGGCTGGAACCTGGTGAGATCCGAGCAAAGCTGTTAGACAGAAGCTTCTCACTTAGATAACCCTGCCCTTATAAAGAAAGCTTGACAATGTGGATTTTCTGATGCTGAGATATCTTAGGTAGCATCTCCTCTGGACCCTTGGCTTTGATCCAGCCACCTCTTTTCCTCTTTTTTGCTGTTGATGGAAGGAGATGAGAGAATTGTAGGGGGGAATGAAACATAGCACTGACAGGCTAGGACTGGCAGCACAAGGACAAATCTTGCTGCTTCTGTGTGTCGTTAAGAGTCTTTATTTACTAAGGAAAAGGAAAGAAAGCAAGCGTCCACAACAAGGGCAAAAGAAACCATTCTGAGGCAGAAGGATGCTGCAGCCACTGAGACAACTGCTAAGCAGAATTATCTAAATCCCTGGGAAATACTGCTGTAATATCTACATAAACATAACATGGCTTGGATTCAGCATCCATACTTATTACATGAGGTTAACCATTTGCCAAGCAAGCATTCTAGGAAGCATGAGAACAGCTCCTTCTATTGATTTTATTTGAGTCTATTTACAGTATTGCTCAGCAATCTCGTGATGAGTAAATTGAAACCTTTCTAACAAAACACTTTCCAGTAATTATTTTTTTTCCCAGTGCCACATGGATGAATTCAAACTGAGAAGAGTAGTGGGGCAGGGGAGAAACACTGAGGACTGAACCCATTTTTAACTGGAATGGCAAGCACCATTTTCATGTCAGCATAATTCCCAGCTGGAAAGCAGTCATGGAACAAATTTAACTTGCCTGTGTTCCTGCCTCAGCAAGGGGGCACGTGCCCTGCGGGATCTTTCGGCTGCCTGCCGCTAAAAAATCTGTTTGCTGTTTTTACTGCCTCAGCAGTGTGTGTAAATAAAGGATTGTTATAAAGCCATAATTCCAGCGCAGTGGGCCCTGACTGTACGTCCATGGTTCTGCAGCCCAGACCTCAAGGAGAAGGCACAGGCATTTTTTTTTCACAAGGCAAAGTGGTTCTCTTGCTGTAGTCCCCCATATGCAAAAGGGCCACATACATAAATTCCATAGAGTGGAGATCCCAACAGCAAATGCTAGTTGTGGAGTCACAAACTGCAGTGTGCATTTAGGAATAATCAGCCATTTTATTCGGTGAGGTGGATGTTAACAGCTGACTTTCATTTGAAATATTAAAACAAAAAAGGCATAACTCTTCGTTTTTAACTTAAGCAAGAAAATGTCAGCTACCTTCTTTTTTTTTGGTAGGGAGAAGCACTCAAAAATATATCTTGTAAAGGTCTTTTTCCCAATCCCAAGGGCATTTAGTAGCATCGGGATCTCCTAACTATAGTATTATATGGTATTATGCTCCTATTAAAGTTTATGGAGAATAATGCTCTTTTTTTGTAAACAGGGAATATTTGGCATAATTATAGAATTTGTTTTAATAAACAAATCTTCTAATTTGAATTTTACAGTGCAAATTTCATACACTGTTAGCATGTTTTTTCTTACAAAAACCCTGCTTTACAATGAAATTAAGAGAAAGAAAAAGAAAGCTCAGGTTTACAGCTAAATTTAAAATAGAACAGTCTAGCAAAGTTACCTAACAGTGTAACATGAAAGAGTTGCTGTCTACATGCTAGAAATCAAAGAGGCCGTGTCTAATTAACATAAAATTTGCATAAATTGATCATCTAAAACACAAACGTTGATAATGATATTCCTGTTGTGAGATCTTCCTTTCGATGGAAATGCCCACTGCTGATTGCCATTGATAAAAAGCTGCCTCTGATTACCTTGCACTTCATCCTGCAATTATGGGAATGGGGTAGTATCATGTCCTTGTTTGGAGAATTTCTAAAGTGCTGCTTTATGTGCACTGGGAGCATGTCCACACTGCTGCTGGTGGGGTTCATCTGGGAAAATCCACAGCAACTTCGAAGCTCCTGGCTCAGGGACAGTGCTGTGCTGGGGCTGCACAGAGCTCAGGGATGTTGGCAAAGGTGTTGCCCCAAGAGGAGAGTCAGTGACCTGTGCTGGCTCTTGCTGTCTGGCCCCACTGCATATTGAACAGGACAAAATGGGAATCTTAGCCTGCAGGAGAAAGCATAGAATACTCAGGGCTCCAAGACACCACTGAGAATACAGGGAAACCTCCCTGCTTTCAAAATCAAGTATATGGGCCAGCAGAAAGCAACAGTGACATGAACCTCTGGTTGCACTTCTATCTTTCCATGGATCCAAGTCAATTCCTGTGGCAGCAGTATATGCCCTGCATTGTTGATGGTTAAAGTGAGGGTACTGCATGTTCAGGAACCCCACAGGCTGGGAAAGGGGCCAGGGCAATCACCAGGTCTGACAGCTCAGGAAGACTCCTAGCAGAAAAAGACTTCTGCTATAAATGGCTTTAGAACAATTTTCTTAGAGACACTGGAAACCACAGACCTGAAATACAGGCCACATTATTCCAGACTTTTCAGTCACTGCCCATAAGTGTGGGTCAGTAAAGCTATTTTTAAAGAAAGTTGCTACCACTTTGAAAGCTGACAAACAACATGACTTTCAGAGACAGCTTGGCTCTTTTGACTGAAATTTCCCAAGAAAATGCAATCAAGTGTTTAAAGTGTAGTTGAGCTATAAGCTGCTGAATACGAGGTCTTAAAATGGGGAATGTCATACAACCTTAATAATAGAGTGGCCTTACCAGGTCTGCCAATAGAAAATGTATGTTTATCTGCATGAATAACAACATGAGCAATCACAGCAATAGAAAGGTTTACTGTAATCACATCTGAACACTGTGCCAAGCTTTTCAACCACAGAGAGAAACCTCGTGCTTCTAAAGCCTGCAATTATAAGTCTAGTTACTTCCTTTTAATTTGATCAGCTCTCTATACATCTGGATTTAATTGAAGTAAATGGTTTATATGAGTAGGCAATTTTACTTGAACATGAAGCATTTGAGCAGAAATATCTCCTGAGTCAAGGACTGTGGGCAAAGTGTGAGGACAGAAAATAATTGCTTTCCCCTCTCCTCATTTTTTTATTCTTTTTTTTTTCCTTCTTTTTTTTGTTTGTTTTGTTTTCTGGTTTATTTTTGCTTTATTGTTTTATTGGGTTTTTTTAACTAACAGATTTAAAATCCAAAAAGAGGTGAAAATGCAACCTGGCACTTAGATGGCAGTTTTAATAATTTTTTTTTTAGAGCATGTTAGTGGCATTAACTCACAAATGTTTTTGAGGATTAGGTAGTTCCTAAGAATGACATCAGGGAAAAATGGGTCTATTAATACC